CCCATTTTCCAATCTCCCCCATCTCGGCGCCCAGCCAGCACCCCCAATCCGGGGCCCAGCTTCACCACTGCTCCCCAAACTGGAGGGGACTGGTTCGGTGCCGTGTTTAACCCCATCCCTTCTGCCTTCGCCTGGCGCAGCCCCACGGCAGCAGCCGGGCCCTGGGGAGGCGGATGGAGCTGCCTGGATCCGGCCGCCTGGCTCCTGCCTCCATTATTTATGAGGCAGGTCGGGTTTCGCGCTGCCAGCTGGGAGGGGGCTTGGGGGAGGAGACTGTGCACACACACACACACTCACACACACACAGGGTCACACACACCCTCATCCCACCCTGTCCAGAGGGTGACAACCACAGGGAAAGTGGCCAGAAGGGCCAGTGACTGCAGGGATGCTCAGGTCGGTGGCATCCTTCAGGTGACACGTCTTCTTCCCGTTGCCTGAGGAACGGGAATTCCTTCCCCTTGTGATCCCTCGTCCCCCTGTGCCCCCCGTGATGTCCTGTGCCAGGGGAAGTGCCACCCAGCAGCATCCCAGGAGCAGCCGGCGGTGGTCCAGCCCTTGAAGGACGTGCTCTGCTCCCAGAGAGAGCCCAGTGCCAGCGGGGCTGGCAGGGACAGGGAGATATCTGGGCCCTGGGTGGTCCCTGTTGTCCCCTTGGTCCTGGCACAGCCCCATTGTCACTAACCCCTGCCAGCTCCAGTTCCCAGAGGGGACATATTGGGGTGCCCCCATGTCCTGGGGACGTTTTTATGCCAAGAAGGGTCACAACCAGGTCCAGAGAGGTGATTCTGCCACTTTACTCTGCTCTGGTGAGACCTCACCTGGAGTATTGTGTGCAGGTCTGGAGCCCTCAATATAAGAAGGACATGGACCTGATGGAGAGGGTCCAGAGGAGGGCCACGAGGATGATCAGGGGGATGGAGCACCTCTGCTCCGAGGACAGGCTGAGGGAGCTGGGGTTGTTCAGCCTGGAGAAGAGGAGGCTCCGGGGAGACCTAATAGCAGCCTTCCAGTACCTGAGGGGGGGCTACAGGAAGGCTGGGGAGAACCTGTTTAGAAAGGCCTGCAGTGACAGGACGAGGGGAAATGGCTTCAAGCTGGAGGGGAACAGCTTTAGACTGGAGATGAGGAGAGGGTTCTTCACTGGGAGGGTGGTGGAGCACTGGAACAGGTTGCCCAGGGAGGTGGTTGAGGCCCCTTCCCTGGAGATATTCAAGGAGAGGCTCGACGAGGCCCTGGGCAACCTGGTCTAGTTGGGGGTGTCCCTGCTGACTGCGGGGGGGTCGGACTAGATGGCCTTTGGAGGTCCCTTCCGGCCTGGGCAATTCTATGGTTCTATGATTGTATGATTCTATGACAAGGAGGAGGAGTCCCTGGGCAGGGGGCAGTCTCCATGGAGGGGACACAGCTGGGGCAGACCCCCCCCAGCACCACCAGCGCAGGGGGGTACCAAACCCTGGGGTGTCTGATGTGGGGTGCCCGGCAGCCCCAGCTCACCCCACAGCCGTGGGCACCCCCGACTCCTCAGGCCAGGCCCCTTGAGCCTCCTTGGGGACCATGGGGACCGTCCCTCCCGGGTGCCAGGAGAGCGGTGGCCGCTGTCCCCACGCTCAGGCCAACAGCCAAGAGCCAAGCAACGCCACTCCGGTCGGACTAGATGGCCTTTGGAGGTCCCTTCCGGCCTGGGAAATTCTATGATTCTATGACAAGTGCTGGAGGAGTCCCTGGGCAGGGGGGAGTCTCCATGGAGGGGACACAGCTGGGGTGGACCCCCCCAGTGCCACCAGCGCAGGGGGGTATCAAACCCTGGGGCCCCAGCTCACCCCACAGCCGTGGGCAACCCCAGCTCCTCAGGCCAGGCCCCTTGAGCCTCCTTGGGGACCATGGGGACCGTCCCTCCTGGGTGCCAGGAGAGTGGTGGCCAGTGTCCCCACGCTCAGGCCAACAGCCAAGAGCCACGCAACGCCACTCCTCCACAGCTCATCTTTATGCAAACTGCCTGCACCCCATTGGCCTCCCCATCCCCACCGCCGTGGGGATGCTGAAGGCTCTCACCCCACCTGCCCAGCGTGTCCCCCGTGGCCGTGGGACCCCGAGCATCACCACTCCGGCCGGACCCACCGGTGCCAAAAACTGGACCGCAGTGCGCCGGGGTGGCGTCGCCGCGGCAACCGCGGTCGCCTAGCGCCGGCCGTCGCAGGGGACTCTCAGGCTTCCGTGGGGACCCTCGCTTGGCCATGGGGATGGTCACACTGCTGTGGGGACCCTCCTCACACTGTGGGGACCCTCAGCCAGTTGTGAGGACTCTCATCCAGCTGTTGGAAACCTCATCCTACTGTGGACACCTTCTCCTACTAGTGTGGACCCCCCCCACCTTGACATGGGGACCCCCACCTTGACATGGAGACCCCCACCTTGACATGGGGACCCCCACCTTGACATGGGGACCCTTCCCTTGCCACGGAGTCCTCCACCTTGCCATGGAGACCCCTGCCTTGCCATGGGGACACACCTTCTCCTACTAGTGTGGACCCCCCCCACCTTGACATGGGGACCCCCACCTTGACATGGGGACCCCCACCTTGCTATGGGGACCCTTCCCTTGCCATGCAGTCCTCCACCTTGCCGTGGAGACCCCTGCCTTGCCATGGGGACATTTGCCTTGACAAGTGAGCCCCCTCCTTGCCATGGGGACCCCTGCCTTGTAATGGAGACCCCCACCTTGCCATGGAGACACCTGCCTTGTAATGGAGACCCCCACCTTGCCATGAGGACCCCTGCCTTGTACTGGGGACCCCCACCTTGCCATGGGGACACCTGCCTTGCCATGGAGACCCTCACCCCATGGTTCCTCTCCTGACAGCTCCCTGAGCTCCTCCAGCCTCTCCAGGGCTCTTGCCTGCCCTCGGGGCCACTGAGATGTGGACGGAGCCCATTTGGTACCCCATTTTCCACGGGGCTGGAGGTATCCCCTCATGGTCCCAGGGCTGGGCTGGGGGTTGAGATGAGGATCCTCAGCTATTTTTTAAAGCTGAGGTGGGTGCCTACCACAGCCACATCTCCTGCAGGTGCTTGGCTG